TAAGTTTTGATATATTTACGGTAGGACATTTACAAAATATCTTCATGGAACATGATCTTTACTTAATATCCTAATGATTTTTGGCATAAAAAGAGAAATGTATAATTTTGACCCATACAATGTATTGTTGGCTATTGCTACAAATATACCCCAGCGACTTAAGCCTGCTTTTGTGCTCCAGGGTCACATTTCTGATGCACAAACAGGACAGTAAAATAACTGAAACTCTGCGGTTTCTTCTGTTCCTGACCCAATCACTCCCAGGACACATGCTCTGAAACGTCCTGCAAATACCTTGCCCTTCAGCGCTCCTTCAGGCCCGATGACGTTGTCGAAGATGTGTTTGGCGACGTGAGCGTCGACGGCAGACAGAGGGTCGTCCAGCAGATAGACGTCTGCTTCACTGTACAGAGCTCTGGCCAGACTCACTCTCTGCCGCTGACCGCCCGACAGATTGATGCCCTGCACACACAACCACACGCTGATTCATTCATGCAACTATTTGCAAAGAACTGCATTTATATATGGGTCAAAGACGTTAAGATGGGGCAACAACGATTTAAAGCAGTATTACACTTATTGTTTTTATGCTTAAACCCTTTTTCGTCTTTGACCCATAAACATTTGTTGAGAAAAGTCCAAAGCCTAATTGCATCGTTTGAACTGCTAAGATGGTAAAAAAAAAAATCATATAAACAGTGTAATGCATCTTTAAAAGTCAAGACATTGAACACACATTAATTGCACTGAATTAAAAAAAAAAAAAATTTAAATTCTATAAAATTCATTTTTGTATAATTGCACATTCATACTAACCCTTACAACAAAGACTGTACTAAACTTAAGTTAATAAGTTAATGTTTAATATGTTTATTAAGTTAATGTTATGCTTATTAATTTATTAAATTATTTAGCAAATAATCACATTTATATGAATATTTGCTGAGAAATGCCCAAACGCCAAAAACATGCTTTGTATTTGATAATTACATTAATTGAACTGCTCTGGGAAAATAATATATATATATATATTATAAAATTATTTTGACTAAAGAGATTTCTTACGTTTTTCACTAATGTCTTAAAAATTATTTCCAGGCTTTCCAGACTTAGAAAAAAAAAAATCATATTAAACGATATTTTGATATTTAAATTATAATTTTTTAATTATATTTTCATGAGACCACTGACAATATAGAAATATAAAATATAAAACAAAATCTTATGTAAAATATAAAATCTTCAATATAAAACATTTTTAACTAAATAACTTTTGATCATTGCATCAAAATCATCCCATGGAAGCATAAAGATGCTAAATCAAATTTTTATTTTTTTAATTAATTAATTAATTAATGTTTTTTATAATTTATAATTAATTTGCAAAAACAGTGTTGTTTGCAAAAAAAAAGTTGCATAATTGCATTACTTGAATTACTCCGATAGTAAGAAAATCAGTTATTACAGAATTTATATACAGTTCAAACAGCATGAATAAATGTGTTAATATTTTAAAATGAAAATTAAATAACACTAAACGCTATAAATATTACAAAAATATATATTTTTATATAATTAACAGTATTAAATGAAAGTGTTCACTGACAGCCCTAGCTACCATACAGCACTATTTTGTAAAAACAGTGTAAAATGTGTTCAAAAGTTCATTTTTAAAAGGTTTAATTACATGATATGCTTAAATTTATTGCAAATGATTGCATTTATATGAATATTTTTTAAGCCCCAAAACATGCTTTGTAGTTGGTAATTTGCACTATGCTCAGAGAGTAAGTTACATATAACACATATATATATGATTTTAAAATGATTATTAAACAATATTAAATGTATTTTGATACCATTAATATGACAGCCCTAGTTCCCACACTGCACTCTTGTAAAACCAGCGTGTTGTAAACTCATGCACAGCACCTTCTCTCCGATCTCAGTCTGGTCTCCTCCGGGAAGCACTTCCAGGTCAGGGGTCAGAGCGCAGGCCTCCAGCACGCAGCGGTACTTCTGCTCCGCGTACGGTCTGCCGAACAAGATGTTGTCTCGGAGCGTGGCGTTCTGGATCCAGGCCTGCTGCGGTACGTAAGCCACGGATCCCTGCAGA